AAATATAACGGAGTGGTTCAGTATGAAATTTTATTTATTTCTTATAATTAAAATGGAAGCAAAGACATTTCTTTATTCCCTTTACAAGGAAAGTGATAGTATTTAGTAACTCTATTTTTGAGCTATAACTAATTAACTTTATTTACCACTGTAGAAAGTGGAGTACGTACGTGCTATTAGATTAATTTTTAAGTCGCGTACTCGCATAGTACTTTATGACTCAACATAACTATCATGTTCAATCTTATTAGACTAAATACCCAGAATATCCTTAATATGGGCGCTGGCCGATAAAATTACCAGGAGGAGCATAGTTGCAAGATACAAACCACCACCCATTGTTGCACCGGGCTCTAGCGCATCCAAGGCGCAGTGAATTACGCCAAACTACCTGTGTGTAATGCCGGCACTCTCCTACGACACAAGAATTCGAGTTATAATCATAATTGCGCTTCTCCAACACCCATAAATCAACTGCTGCCTTTCCGGTAAAATCTCCACTGCCCTTTGCAAGGTTCTCTCCATAGCTTCGGCTACCAGAGTGGATGAGGTTGCAGTCACCAGTCCTCTGATTAACATAGTTTCGAGCAAAGTCTGCTACTTTATCATCCCATACCATGGGTCCAACCCCAACCTGGGCACGGGCTGCATTGTGGGCATTAAGATAGTCTTGAGGGGAGTTTTGGGCTTCAGATGAATACAGTGATATTGTTAACACAACAAAGAAAAGGAGAAACTTTGGAAACATAACCATTTTGTGCTTTATTTCAAGACGATATTACTCTAAACAGTTTAAAAATGAAGCGCTCTCGCACACACACACACACATAGGTGAAAAACATGGATATTTTTTCTGTTGATATCTCAACTTAATAAATACAAACCATCTATGTATTTTGAGGAAAATTAAAACTAGTTTTTCTTTGTGGAAATTAATGTGTTCCATTTTTTTAAAGTAGACGCTGGTATTACTTTACAGAAGGGGCAAATGATATGTACTTGTTATAATGATATATCTTTAATGTTGCTAGGTTAATTTTTACCAACTATATGAATATTCTTTAAATTTAAAAAAGTGTATATGCTCTAAATTTTAGTACAGTAATTTATGAAATTTCTCTTTTTTCAAGGGGAAAATTTTTTAAAAATGAATGATTGGGTGTGCATTCTTTTCAGAATTAAAATAATGACCTCTTGATGAACATTGGAAAGATATGGGATAGAGTACAAGATTTCAACATACTAATCAATCGTGTTAGGCACGCATATTGGACCACTTAAACCAACGTCGAAACAGTCAATCAGGTAATTTAATTATTGAGCAAGAGTATTATCCGAATGCAGACTTAGAAATACGCTTATGAAGCCATTAATTTTCTTAGCTTATCTCTATTAAATATCCAAGATCAAAGCTACAATATTTGACTTAAACGTGTTGGAAAATAAAACTGATCGAGATAATAAATATGACACGATATGAAGTATACGATCACAAACAAACAACAAGATAAAAA